CACGAAAAATTTTACTATTCGATTTTCATATAGGACTATATATAGTTTTGATCTACATAGTACACTGGATACCCCAATGTTACACTAAAGCCATATAAAATTATTTTATAACCCAGTTTAAAAAAATTTTTTATAAGGACTAAGTAACTTTATTGTTATATAAAAATCTTTCATTTTACTATTAAAAATTTTTTTCATTTATTTACTTAAAATCTATTATTATTGTCAATAAATATTTTATAAAAATTACAATGTGATAGATTTCTTTGGCTGATAAAAATTGGGATTATACAATGCACAAAAAATTCAAATTTTATACGTAAAAGAATATAACGATAAGTATTGTGACGAATTTGGTACAGTATATCGAAAGGCGCAAAGATCAGATCACTGAATCACGAGATATTTTCGTGAGTTAAAAAAAAAAAAAAATAACGATAAAATTTCATGAAAACCAAGTAATTAAGTTTATATGGCCTAATGTTAGGCTTAGAAATTCTATAATGATAATTTTATTCTATATCTATAACAACTTTATTAACATAAAGGAACATTAACAGCTAACCCTCCTTGACTAGTTTCCTTATATTTACTTTGCATGTCCAATCCAGTCTGTCGCATAGTTTCAATTACTTGATCTAAAGTAACTCTATGATACCCATCACCGTTCAATGCCAATTGAGCGGCGGTTATAGCTTTGATAGCACCAAGGGCATTACGTTCTATGCAGGGAATTTGCACAAGACCATCTACCGGATCACAAGTTAGGCCTAGATTATGCTCCATTCCTATTTCCGCTGCGTTTTCTACTTGTTCCGGTGTTGCACCCTTGAATAAAAAATTAATAAAGTATTAGTAAATAAATGTCATAGATACGGGATGTTAAACGTTTAGTCCACACCTAACTCAACTACAAAAGTAATAACATTTCTTGTTTTAGTATACCAGTATATACTATTCTAAATATCATGTTACAACTTGGAGTTGACTTAAAAAATCTTGGCTCAAACCAACTTAAAAACTAACTAATCACTACATATGTACGAATAAATGAATATTTTAACTAACCATTACTGCGGCAAATCCAGCTGCGCTCATGCTACATGCTATATTCGTATACGATTAAAGGACGTAGATATGTACGTGCGTAATTAATACCTATCTGTTATCTGTTACTGTTATTACCAATTTAAGTATTTAATTACTTACCAACACCAACTTCCCCTTGGCAACCCATTTCAGCAGCACTAATGCTTGCTCCTCGTTTGTAAAGCATACCTATAGCGGCGCTAGTAAAAAGAAATTCCATGATATCTAGTGCAGGATTCTCAGATATAAACTCTAAAAAATATTTTAACACTGCGGGAATTACGCCAGCTGCGCCATTAGTTGGAGCGGTAACTACCCGTCCACCTGCAGCATTTTCCTCATTAACCGCAATAGCGTATAATGAAAGATAATCTAAAACAGGTAACATGGGTTTTCTCCGAGGCCATTGCGGAATAATTTTCTTATAATTCATTTCGATTGGAATTAATGAATTATTTATTGATTCTGAAAGCTGTGCATCATTTATTAGTTTTTGGTACAACCCTGGAGCTCTCCTTCGTACTTTTAGACTACCCGGTAAATATTCTTCAGTGCTCATACATCCGTTTTGAATGCTTTTATTCATAGTATTCCAAATATCCATTATTTTACTTTTAATTTTTTGTGGGGTTCTCCATTGTAGTTCATTCTGATAAACAACTTGTGAAATTGTCATGCACTCTCTCTTACAAACATTTAATAATTCTTCAGCATTTCGAAAAGGTAATGCAGCAACAGTAACAGCCTCATCTTGTTTTGCACGTTGTAAGTCAACTGAAGTCTTATCATAAGCTTTATAAAAAAGGTTATCACCATGTTTTTGGATGGTGTTTTCTTCGACCACAAAACCGCCACCTATTGAAAAGAATTCACCAGTAGTTAAAGGATCGCCGTGTTTATTGAAAGCAATAAACCTCATGCCATTTGGATGTTGAGGAAGTGATTCGTGGTAATGGAAAATAAGATGGTTTTTTACATCGAACTTTATCGCTTTTGTTCCACCCAGAATAAGAATCCCTATATATTAAAACCACGTGATTTGTTATATCTAGATGAGTGTCGAAAATTTTGTTGCAGGCCGTAACTTAATATACAAAATTTCAAAATTTATATGCGGAAACCACATATAAATTTCAGGTTTTAGTTGCAAAAAATTTAAAAATTGCAAGCTTTGCAACCCAACCAAAATTCCGGGTCAGAATCGAGTCAATTATGCTATGACAAAATTAACATTTACTTAAATGAGTGGAATTTATTAGTAAAAATATATAACATAAGCCCATTCGATGGACTCTAACCCGAAATTTTTTGATCGATCTGTAGAATTTTAGTTACGACACTAATTTATTCGTATAATTTTTTATTATACGATATATACCTGTTTCATTAATTTTCGATATTCGTGATTTTATTGTAGATGTATCAATTCTTTCGGGAGTTTCACCTTCCATTCCCATTAAAATTGCATTAGGAGTACCATGACCTTTGCCGGTTAAAGCCAGTGACCCATATAAATCAATTCGAAGTCTGTTTACCTATGAACAACACATGAAAATTCAAAATTATAAAAATTTCAAATTTGAAATATAATATTCACCTTATCAAAAGCACTGCGATTTTTCAAATCTGTAATAAAAATTTTTGCCGCTCGCATTGGACCAACAGTATGGCTGGAAATATATATAACTTTATTGTTAAAGAGTGTTTTAATATAGAGTTATTATCACTAGCACTAACCTTGACGATGGACCAATACCAATGCTGAAAAGATCAAATGTACTGACCACAGCATGATGGTCTTTGGGTTTTGTAGATAGTAACTTTCTTAAATATGAGAATTTCCAACGATTTTTGAAAGGATCAAGTGTGTGTGATGATAAAAATCGATTAAAACCTCCCATTTTTATTACAATTAAAAGGAAAAGTCACTTAATATATATTTAGAGGTACGTATGTAAACGTAATTACTGCATAACTTTCCCACGCCTCATTAAGGAATATGAACTATTGTAGATATTTGACGCAGTGACGTTAATGTGATTTGTGTATTTTTTTTAATTAACAATTAATCGTTCAAAGAATTCTTATTATTTATAGATTACTGTTTTTATAATTGTCATATAATTTATATATAGGCAATGATTGATATACTATATAACAATGATTGGATTTGTAAAAATAACATATTGTTTAATATTGGGATTTAAATATTTTAATACGTAGCGATAGGACATTTCAGTACGTATCATAAAAATTTAGAAGATAGGGGTTAGACCTAGATTTCTTTTAGTGTTATGTATCTTTATATAGACTACGTAAATTAGAGATACAAGTAACTCTTGTTATCAGTTATAGTTACGAATCCAGGACGTAAGATAAATTTTTGATTATGATAAATAAAATATGGATTCAAATTAAAATTTGATGTCTAGCTAAGGTCTAATTTTTTGCCGATTAGCCCATATGAATAATTAATTCCATAGCAGTACTCTTTAATTCTATTTACAGTATCTAAAATATTGGAGGTTTCAGATTAGTGACAAATAGCGTATTTCGAAAATAAGTATAGATTTAAAAAAATCGAACTTGCAATTAAAAGAAAGAAATGAGAGTATCTGGAGACTCCCATTTATGAAATTAACTTTTTTCAAAATTAGTGATTCGACGCCTGATTTCGGATGAAATAAGTGAGTATTTATTTCGAAATAATTTTTAAGTGTATCGGTATGTTTATTTGTACAGTAACTGATTTATAATTCTGACGCTCTTATTTCATTTTCAGATTTTGAAATTTAAAAATACTAATACTGTAATATTTTTTAAACTACTTATTTTTGAAATAAACTAATTTTGAAACACCCTTTTGAAATAAACTAATTTTGAAACACCCTAATAGTTGTCAAAATAAAATTATTCATAAATAAGAGTTGACTAAACGTAAAGATGAAATTAAACTTTTAAATAGTTTAATCCAAAAAAAAAAAAAAAATGTCACTTATTTCAACGGAGATTAGATACTCGCAAATTAACAAAATTTACAAATCCTTTAAGTTGCTATTAGGGTTCTGCAGCCCGGCATATGTCCATGTCCAGCAAAATTTTAGGCAGCTGGCACAAAAGATGGGCATAGATATTTAGTGCCTAGCCTTAAAAGTACCTG